GACAACTCAATGGCTAACATAATTCTAAAGGAGGAAAAACTGAAATCTTTTACTCTCAGATCTGGTACAAGACAAGGATGTGTTCTATCATCTTTCCTATTCAGTATACTTCTGGATTCATTAGCTAGAGCCATTAGACAAGAAAGAAAACTAAAAAGATTAAGGATACTTAAAGAAGAAGTTAAACTATCATTATTTGCAGATGACATGATACTCTACTTGGAAGACCCAAAAACCTCCACCAAGAAGCTACTAGAATTGATACACAAATTCAGTAGCATAACAGGATACCAAGTTAATACCCAAAAGGCAATAACATTCCTCTATACAGATAACAAACACACTGACTGGGAAATTAGAGAAACAATACCTTTTACAATAGCACAGCAGAAAATGAAATACTAAGAAATTAATCAAACTAAAGAAGTAAAAGAGTTCTTCAGTGAAAATTACAGTATTCTGAAAAAAAAGAGATCGTATAGGATTTCAGAAAATGGAAAGATATTCCATGCTCCTGGATAGAAAGAACCAACATTGTGAACACGGCCATACTCCCAAAATTGTTATACAGATTTAATGCAATCCCTATCAGACTACCACCCACATACCTCACAGAGGTAGAGAAATCATTCCTAAAATTTATCTGGAACCAGAAAAGACCTAGAATAGCAAAGGCAATCCTGGACAACAAAGACAAGGCAGGAGGCATTACAATTCCTGACTTGAAATTATACTACAAAGCTACTATGATAAAGCCAGCATGGTGTTGGCAAAAAAAAAATAGCCCTGAGGATCAGTGGAAAAGATTAGAAGATGCAGAAGCAACTACAAACACACTCAGCCACCTTATCTTCAACAAAGGGGCCAAACATGCTTGGCAGAAGAAAGATAGCCTATTTAAAAATGATGCTGGAAAAACTGACTCTCTACATGACAAAAACTAAAAGTTGACCAGCTCTATCACCATGCACTAAACTAAAGTCAAAATAAATTAAAGAACTAAAGATTCAAATAAGAACACTAAATCTCCTGAAAGTAGGAGGAACTCTTGAAGACAAACAGTTCATGAACAATAATTAAACTGCATGGAAAACACTTGAAAGAATTAAAAACTGGGACCTGCACTAATTGAAAATCTTTTGCACATCAAAAGAAATTACCAACAGAGTGAAAAGACAACCCACAAATTTGGAAAAAATCTTAACTAATAAGCACCTAGACAAAGTCTTCTCTCTAGAATTTACAAAGCACTAAAAACCATAAGGGCCACTAAATTTAAAGACCAAAGGAGAGATCTTGAACACCCTGTAGACCCCTCCCTAAAAACACAAAAAATAAAATAAGATAAATAAAGACCCAATCCAGAAATGTCTATCCAAGTTGAAAACACACTTCTCCAAGGAAGAAATTCTAGAAGCTAATGGATACTTTAAAAAATGCTCCACATCACTGGCCATCCATTAAATGCAAATTAAAACAACACTGAGATACCATCTCACCCCAAAAAGAATGGCTATCATAAAGAATCAACCAACAACAAATGTTGGAGAGGCTGTAGGGAAAAGGAACCCTTCTCCACTGCTGGTAGGAATGTAGACTTGTGCAACCATTATGGAAATCAGTGTGGAGATGCCTTAAAAAACTAGAACTGGAAATCTCATTCAATCCAACTATCTCCTTTCTGGGAATTTTCCCCAAAGAACTGAAAATATCATATCATAGTGATATATGTGCACCTATGTTTATAGCACCACAATTTGCGATAGCCAAATCTTGGAAACAAACAAAATGTCCATCACCTGAGGAATGGATGAGAAAGGTGTGGTGTTGTTATTCAATGGAGTATTACTCAGCTATAAAGAATGGTAAACTTGAAGCCTTCATATATAATTGGATGCAACTTGAAGATATTCTCATAAGTGAAAAAAAACATATACATATGTGTAAATATCATATAGTCTCCCTAGTTTAAGAACTCAAAAGAAAAAATAATAATTGAAAGGTGTAACACAACTAAATGGAAAGCGAGAACTTAAGGATGAAACAATGAAGAGAGGGCAAGGAGAAAAGCTAGGAAACATGGCTGGGGCAAAATCATATATTTATATACACAAGATGGTTAAGTCAATGATCCTGAGAATTCCACCAGTTTTTTGAAACTAGCAGTTAATTGATAGGATTCTCACCCTGACTAACCATATATGCTGATACCTGTGAACTAAGCAATGGCACTGAAGATAGCAATACTTCAGTGCCATTGAAGTGCAATACTAGGGCCATGCTTGGAATGCTTATCATTCTAGTCTTCTAAATACATACTGCTTCTAATGTCATATCAATTATTGATGTACTCTCTCTCAAGTAAATGTTTGGGTTTTTTTTAAAAAAGGTAATAAAAGAAAATAAGAGACCAAAATATAATGTCATAGAACTGTCCTGCTACAATGTTGTGTATGGTTAGATTTCTAAATTTCTGTGTAAAAATGTGTGTTTATTTTTTTTTTCAAAGTTTTATTGACAAAGAGATAGCAATGAGACAGTTTCAAATCAAATCGGAAGGACAGTTTCAACAAATAATACACTGCATATATTCTTCTTAGTGGTTAATTGCTGTACAAGATGCGGACTTGTGATCCTATTCACAAACACCATTAGAACAAATCATTCTATTCATTAAGAGAATGCAACTATATATCTATCCCAACCTCTTTGAATACACAGATACAAAATGGACATTCATCGGTATACCCCATTTTTTCTAAGTTACATTATTGAATATTATAGGTGTGTAAACTCAGCAAAATATTCTAAAAGAGTCCAGTAGCCTATAATAGCATTGGGTCTTATATTTAACTGGCAATGTCAGAAATTATTGACCTGAGTCCCCCACAGCTCAACTTAACAGCATGGCTTTATTTTTTATATTTCGACTTCATACTTTTCTACTGGATGGTTAAGACCAAGGTAAAGCAGGACCTATGCAAGAAGAGTTGTAGCATTTTGGTCTTAGAAGGTCAGTGAAATGCCCTCAGGATTTGTCCTGAGATCCTGTACCTCGTGTGTTTATTTTTATTTTATCATTTTATTTATTTATTTTTCACATTTTAAAAGGATTTAAAATTTAGCATATCAATGATTGTTGGAAAATACCTGTTCCATGGTGTGTCTAAGGTATTTGATAATCAGACAGATAGTGATGTTAAGCTCAACTGCTTATGTTATAGGGTAATAATATCATTAAGCTTCTCTTCTGAAAGGTTAACAACTTAAGTTTGCAGTCCAAAAAATCAGAGAAAAAGAAGGGCTATAAGAATAACCAACATTTTGGCCCTACCCCTTCAAGGTCAGTGAGGACTCAGGAAATAAGAGAACCTGTATTGTAACTTCCTGTAATTCAGTGGTGTCTCAAATTTTCTGATCAAGGAGATTGTAGGGCCACAGATGAAAGCATTCAATGATGTGTAGTGTGCCTAAGGAGAGTCACATGGAAGGAAAACATTCTCTCAGGCTTTCACAGAGAGCAAATAGGTCAAGTAATGGCCGTGACTCATCCAGATGGCTGACGCTGACAAAAGATCTACAAAGTGCTGTACAGGGTTTCCGGGTAAATCCTGAGGGGATTTGACTGACCTTGTCAGATACAAAAGTTACATTTTTTTTCTTATATAGGTCTTGCTTTATCTTGGTCTAACCATCCAGCAGAAAAGTATAAAAAGGTATAAAAAGTAAAGCCATATTAATATGCTGAGCTGTAAAAGGCTCAAGTCAACAACTTCTGACATTGCCAGTGCTACAGATAGCCCACTACTATTATGGTGTACTGGAATATATTGATTGTTTTGCTGAATTCACACACCTACAATATTTGAATGGGATAATGCCAGTTAGCTCAGTTGGTTAGACCATGGGTACAGTCCAATATTTAGAGAACCTGAACCATGTGCTGTGTGGTTTTACTACTTTTTACATGTCTACCTTCATCTTACCACATATTTATCTGCTCCTGGCTCCCCCAGTTCATGCTGGAAGTGTACAACTTGTGGATCACGATTGTCTAAAACACCAACCTTCCCTGACCCACAGCAGACTGTGCTGCTCACACTCCTACCTCAAAACAGAATAGGGTAGACAAAAGGTCTTTTTCGTGGATCTTTCTTTTCCTTTGATCTTCACTAGAACTAGAAGGAAAAATCCTAGTTCTTTCTTCCCAAGTCATTTTTCTAGACTCTGATCTACGTGGATATGAAGAAAGAATAATGATGCCCATCATCTCAAGTGAGCTAAATAAAAGATGTGCTATTGCCCCTCTAAATATGGAAATAAAACATCCAACTGAATACTGTGGATAATCTTAAAAGTCATTACCCCTGAAAGATTAATAATGAAAACAATGAGCTCAGAGGCCCTTTAGTAACTCAACAAATTACCAGGAAAAGGAGAATCCTCCCAAATTGTGACTTGCTCCAAAGATTGGTGTTGCAAGGGACTTACTGGCTTCTCATATTTCTGTTTCATTATGATGTTTGGCCCTAAGAGATGCCTTCCCTGGGGCACGACGTCACATGCTCCTGAGTCCTGACTGATGGCTTTGCAGATCCTGCTATGGAAATGTCCATGACAGGACTTAGTCCTGACATGCAGCATCATGAGCAGCTACTCATGTAACATGAATAACAGGAAGAGCAACACGGTTAGAAGATCTGTCTTCCAGTTCTCAGACCCATGTTCTCTGCAGGGCAAGCAGACTGGTGTCACATACAATCTCCTCAGAGAACAGGTCTAGACGGCAAGCAGAGTTGCACCAGGTTTGTCTCCTCCCGCAACACATCAACTTGCAAGATCAACAAGATTAGTGTAACGCCCTCCTCTCATGACACTGACAGGGGAGTGAAAACTACAGGAGATTAATTTGATTAGCAATAAAACACTTCGGCACAGAAAAGTCTCTATAAAACTTTATTGAAAACATTTCCATCTTTGCAGGATAATTCAAGAAGAAACTTAGATTGACTACTACTACCTAGACATTGGGCTTTAAGAAAGGGAAAAAATACTTTTTCAGTCTCAGCTAACACATAAAGTACTTTATTTCCTTGCTTTTTAACCAAGCTTAACAAATTGTGGAGATTATGTCTGTGTCTTTCCACATCATCAAGTAGTGGAAAACCTTGCATAGTGTTTTTTACAGAAACTAAGGCTTTCATCAAACAGACTGAGCTCCTCTCACTCTTTTGCTTGTTCACCCTCACTACTGAGATGTTCATCTAAAATGACGCATTAAGCTTTTAAATCTAAACATCACATTTGAATAAAAATATCTCAAGACATGTACTGGGATTTTAGGAAGATACTGAGAAATGGGGGCCAAAATCAACCCAAGGCAAAAAAAAAAAGTCCAAAAGTGGCATCTGTTTTTGGAGTTTTTATCCAAAATAGCAAAGAAAATATAACAAAGAAATTATCACCTCCCAGAAAAGTCATTACTCGTGTACAAAGTGTAACAGTGGTGTCATTAGCAGGCAAGGCAGCAGCACAAGGCACACACCCACCCCTAGGAGCTAAGCACTCTGGGAACAACGGTGCTTGACCCCCTAGCAACCTGATGCTTCTATGGGAAAAGGGGGGGAAAAAGATACAGTAAAATTTTAAGTGAAACCTAATGGTCCTTCTGGCTGAGACGCTATACACCCCCTGGAAGGATAATACTCAGATGGAAGAAGTCTTGGCTCCATCCAACTGTGGCTCTGGAGGACTTAAGATGTGTTTTAAAGGCTGCGGAGCAGCGCTGGGCCAAGGATCCCTCAGCACTGGACGCAGGGGTCATGGCAGACCATCCCATCCCGAGCAGGTCAGAAACAGTAAAACATCATTCACCCTGCTGCTCAATGCCCCTCAGCTTTCCTTGAAAGGATCCTCCACAGCCCCAAACCCAACTCTTAATCCAGTGTTTGCCTTAAGTTTATTGCTCTTCTTAGTATCCAAGAAAGCTGGTGCTAAAACATTCTTGCCTTTCCCCTCTTCCCATAAACCCTAACTCCACTCTCTTCCCCCCACCCACCCATCACAGACATGCACAGCTGTGTTCCCATCCCTACTCTGCTCCTTTCTGTCCCTGACTCACCATACCCACCCAGATGTTCCCTTCCCACCCCTCCCTGTCACTACACTGAGCCCTAGCCCTTGAGTCTTTTGCTGCCTAAATCGACCCTAATTCTGGACAAGGCTGAGAACAGCAAACAAAAGAGCAACTGTGGGAACTGACAGCTCGAGGTCTCTGGCATCAGCTCTCCCTTGGCAGCCTCACCTGGGAGGTGCTGGAAGGGCTGGGCTCCCCGCAGGCACCTCATATACCTCAAAATGACAGAATGCATAACTAGCCCTAGGACAGATGCACCGTGCTGCAGCTGCTGCTGCTAGAGGAGTAGGCATGAGAGAGGGGGAAAGAACACTGGACAGAAATGGGACTATGTATGGGGCTGTGTGGACCCCAGATCAGGTGACATGTGGCATAAAATCATATTCCAATATCCCTAAAGAGGAAAAAAGGCAGAGAGGGAGGGAGTGGAAGGAAAAAAAGAAGGGAAAGACACAGGGAGGGCTACAATAAATCTGGGATTAAAAAAAAAAAATGGCTACTCCAAACAGACATGAATCTAGGTTCAAATCCCAGGCTCCTTTTAAATCCCAGTTGCAGGGAGTAGGACCCTCTCATTGGAGCCAGCCCTAGAAGCCTTCCACAGAGAGGGTGTTGTTGAGCTCGTAGGTGTTGCTATCCTCCTCCTCCAGGAGCAGTTTGTCGATGGTCAGGGAACTGATGGCCCTCCTGGGGTCGTCCAGGTCCTGAAGGACTGGCTCCGGGAGAGAGATGGGGAGCTGGACAAACTGGGGTCCAGGCAGGGCTGGGGCCGGAGGCTGGTACTGCAGGGTGGAGGTGGGCAGCGTGGAAAGGGGTTGAGGCCACGGGAAGTAAGTGAGAGGTGCCTGGTGCTCCGGCCCCTCCAGCTGGGACCCCATGGAGGGCGTGGCAGCGCTTCTTGTCTGTGATGGGAAACACAGGGCCGGAGTTAGCAACCAGGCGTGCCCACCCACCCGGCCTTGCCTAAAGGAATCTCCAAATCCCCCTTCAACTCTGCCCCTCCCTGGTTTCCCGCTTCAGGAGGCTCCCCTTCCTCCTGCTCCTCCTCCTCCAAGTCTCCCTTGTAAGGGAGAGCCAGACAAATCTCAAACACATCCCTCGTATCCCTCCGCAGCATGTAGCCTTGCGCACGCTATCTTCTAATCCAGAAGCCTCATCTTTCACCTCGAAGCACTGGGATACAAATAGTAAAGAAGTCACAGGGCTGAGCACATTGGAGAGGATTTTCCGGGTTGCACTGATTTTAAAATGCAACCTGATTTCGGAGATCTTAAAGCGTAAAACATCCATGTCTTAAAATGTATGGAAACACATGTTAAACAATGAGCCTGTCACAGAGCCTAGGTAGCTGTATCTAGACGGTGCCTGCCCTCCTGCCCAGACACACTAGCAGTTCTGGCTCCACACGGCAACGCCGGCCTCCTGTGTCCCCTGCGGGCCAATGCCATTCCATCATCTCCTCCCCATCTGCTGGCACCAATGCGGAGAGGGCCAGCCATCCTTATAGCCTGGGAAGCACTGTCTGCCAGCTAACGTGGCCCTTCTGCCTGCTGCTACCTGGTGACTTCCATGTCCTGTATGCCTCCGTCTCTGAGCTGTCCCCCACGGCCACCTCACCAGGAACCCCCAAGGTTGCCCCAGAGCTCAAAGCCATGATCCCATGTGCTTTAAAAACTACATGGCGGGCCAGCACAGAGACTACCCCAATGAATCTAGGTCCAGCCTGCTAGAGAGGCAGCACCCTGATGCTTACTGGCCTTTCCCAGGGGAGGAAAGCAAGTGGAAGAGGAAGCTCCCTCCACAGACCCATAGGAGGCCACCCTCTCCCCTCCCCACCCTTTACCCCCTTGTCATTCTCTGGTTGTCACTGTGCCTTGAAAGCAAATACTGGAGTCAGCCTCTCCAGGCAGAGCTCTCCTTCAGCTTGCAGGGCATCTTGCTTTAACAGACTCTGGTCTAGGAAGCGGGCTGGGGCTGGAGGGGGGTCTGGGATTCTGCACTTCTTAACAGCTCTCAGGACATGCCAGTGTGACTGACCCAGGGACTGCAGTGTGGGTAACGCGGCTTTGGGGTGTTCATCCATGGGATAATGAAGCAGAAGCTTGCGACACCCAGGCTGCTGGGCACATCTGATTATGCACAGCTACTTCTTTGACACGAACCTGTGGCAAAACCAAGGCTGACCTCCTGAAACCAGGCAGAATCTGGGAAAACCCATGTTACTCCCATATTTCAAAACTCCAAATGAAGTCCTAGGCCATTGCAGGTAATTCTCTGGAATAGAATTACCCCAACCCAACACTCTGCTGATCCTGAAAGCTGACTGGTAGCTCAAACCACCTCTGAAGAGTTCATTTACAAAATCCCAAAGCAAATAATTTATTTCTTAATAAATATAGTTTGATACACAGAGCCATTCAAAGCAAATAATGGGGATAATGAAGGGGTATAAAGAATGAAAAGAATCTTCCACAGTGAAATGGCTACAAACCACTACATCCTCCACCCACCCCCTCACCTCCACCTCAGGCTCAGTGATATGGAAATGAGTCACCTGGGGAACACACTGCATCAACTCCTTCCTACCCACGCTCATTAAGACCCCACAGTTGGTTTGCCAAGTATCCAGGTAGGCTTGTGGGTTGGTTAGCCTCCCACGGGCCTTGGCTAGAAGGTGCTTGGAAGCAGTGAGCAGGTGCATTAGGAAGACCCTGGACTCCGGCGGAAATGGAAGGGACATGGGGAACCAAAGCAATTCCCACCTGCAAGGGTAGGTCTGTAACCACTCCTGAGGCCCTAGCTGCACTTCCCACTCGTGCCTGCAGTGGAGCGGATGTCACTGAAACCACAGCCTTTATAGATTCCCACACTTTGGGTCACATAAAGCTGTATCTCTTTCTTCCTTCGTTCCAAGAGGAGCAGACCCGGCCCTTCCGATCTGGCACCTGAAGATGGTCCTTGGTGAATGCCACTGGCAGATTGGGATGCGAGGATAACCAGCATTTGCTGAGGCTTTCTGAGGGTCAGGAACTGTGTCAAGCTATGCATTAGCTCATGTGATCCTGACAACATCCATCTTGCTAGCATTTCCATTTTATAAGCAAGGACACTAAAAGTCAGAGTGGCCAAATTACTAAGCCCACTAACTAGTAAGTAAAGGGCTAAGGATTTGAACACAACCAACCTGACACTACAGGTGGAACTCCAAAATTACCCTTCAGGTGGGTCCAAGTCAAAAGTACAGTTTCTGGAAAGTTGCTTCAGCTTTCACCCAGCCTAGAAATCTTCTGGCAAATTCCTTTGCTAAGTGAACAATCAAATCACTCTCTAAGTTATTTGAATTGGAAGAAAAGGCTGGCACTGGCACAAGACCCCATGCAGATGCCTTTCACAAAAACTTTGCCTCATAACCAAGACTCACTGCTTGCAAGGTGGCTGGGGAGATTCAGTGCAGAGAAGCAGGGGACCTTTGTAGCCCCAAGGAGCAGAGGCATGACAAGACAGGCACAAGGTCTCTGTAGGGTACTTGGGGTCTATGGGAATAGCATCAGGCTCCCTACATGACCCTGTGGACTGATAACCCTGGAAATCTATAACAAGGAAGATCAGGGATCAAAAGTCGGCCCTATATTTAAAGGGTGCCCCTGGCCTATTTGTATGACATACCGTGACATTAGTGATGAGTGGTGGGGAGGCGTAGGTGAGCATGGACGAGGGCCCCACCACCGTGTAGCTGGGGCACACAGGCTGCACATACATGTCGGCTGAGTAGGGGCAGTTGACGGCTTCATGGGACACATACTCAGTGTAGGGTGTCCAAGGGGTCAAGGGCTGGAGGGTGGCCGGGGCAGGTTGGGAGAGCCAGCTGGCACACAGAGCCCCCTCCTCTGCCACTGTGGAAGCAGAGACTTCCATGTCAAGGCAGGAAGGACCTGTGGGGAAAAGAAAATTGCAGAACTGCAGATGCCAACCAGAGGAGGCACCTGGAGAGGCCCAGGGCTGCAGGGAGCTCTTACCCACTGTGGTGTAGGTCGCCAGGGGCTGGTGGGGCAGCACCACCTACAGGGGAGAAGAAAAGACAAGGACCAGCATTCAGTCATCTCCATCCAGTCCAACCGGGGAACTCGCCAGGGGCTCCCAGGGTAGAGCAGAGAAGAATCTCCACTGTCCAAACAAATCACCCCCATCCCAGGCATCACCACCTACATTTCTGAGGGCTCTGTCCTTCCATTATCCAGGAAGTCTGTGCATGGAAGGAGCTGGCAGCTACCTCTACCTTGAGGAACACCCACTTACAGCGGCAGATGTGCTTCTCAATGGGCCAAGCAAGCCAGTCCCCCACCCCTCACCCACCTCAAGGAACCGCCGACTGTGCCCTGGGCCCATCTCCTACAGTACCACCAGGTAACTTGCTGCCTTCAGGCCCCCATGGACAAGGAAGGGCATTTCTGCCTGACCCCTTCACTCCAACGCATGCGTGCACATGTGCACACACACGCACGTGCACACACACACATGTACGCACATGCACGCATGCAATGGCCACAACTGTCCCCTCACCGCAGTTGGTGCAACAGCTGCCCCGCTGCTGGCGTGGCCGCGCTTCCTCCTCAGCAACTCCTTCACTGGCTCCTTCACGCGGACACCCTGGTACGGCCGAGGTGGGGCCGGGGCTTGCTCTGGAGGAGTGGCTGTGGAAAGCAATGTCGCTGGAGCCCATAGCTCTCCTCAGACAAACCCCAGTCCCCAGTGCCCATATCCCTGAGATCTGCCTGCTTCCAGGTTGTGTTCGGTCACCAACGAAGACGGAAAACTTGCTAGAGTATTCCTCTGGGCATTATCCCTCCTCCTGCCCCCAAACCTTCTGTGACTCCTCCACACCCACAATTAGGGCCCAGCCTCTTGCTCTAGAATTGAAATCCTTCCACTGTGGGATCTGAAGCCACTTTTCTAACCACTTTTCACATTTCCCTCTAGCTCTTGCCAGAAGGTGTGGCCGTACTTCCCCATGCGGTCCATTGTATCTAACCTTCAACTTTTCACTTGAGATTTTCCATGTCCTGATTTCTCTCCTGATTCTTTTGACCTCTGCAGTCCATGGAATCTCTGTATTGTTAATTCTCAAATACATGCCGATCTGATTAGTACTCAGAGGTAGCAGTAGAGAGTGGCAGTAAGAGCAGGGATTCTGACTCAGGTGGCACAAGCCTTAAATCCTGCCCCTGCCACAATCCAGCTGTGTGGTCCCAGGCAAGTTACTAAATCTTCCTGAGCCTCTTAATCTGCAATTTCTTATCAAGGGAATATCTCAAGGAGTCAACGATATACTAAATAAGAAATAAGTCATGGGTTTCATATAAAATCGAATATAGACTAAGCACTCCATAAATTTTTTTTTAATTTTTTTTATTTTGTGTGTGTGTGTGTGTGTGTGTGTGGCCAGCTCAGCCCACCAGGGGGGGCACTGGCTGACATGTGGTGCTGGGGGATTGAACCGTGGTCCCTGTGCTTTGCTAAGCTTGTTCTAAGTAGTTGCTTTAGACCACTGAGCCATCTCACCAGCCCCAACTCCATAAATTTTTATCCTGCTATATATTAGAAATTTATTCTGCTATTATAGAATTAGAAATGGAAAACATTTCTAATGCTCCCAACTGGAAAATTATAAATTTATCAAGGTAAAATAATGCACTTTATTTCTCATAATCTTCCCAAATGATGTGTCCACAGTGAACTCTGTGATTACTTTTGATTAATCGGTTGGGTGATTCTTTAACATGTGCTGTCATTTATCTTCTCTTTAGAATGAAGGGCCTGGAGCAAGTGGTTCCCAGGTTCTTCATGACTAACAGGACTTGGAACCACATCCACCGGTGATCTGTTTGCCCTGGGGTCAGAGAATATCCACTTTGCTGCTCAGAGCTTTCCCTTCCTTTTGTTATCAAAGGCAAGACGCCAAAGCACCAGCCCAAGCAGAAGCCAGAGCAGAGGGTCCTTCCTGGCCAGGAAGAACAGGAAAAGCAAAGCACCCGCGGCTCTACATGACAGCCGGCTCAGACGGCCTGCATGGATGGAAGCTCGAGCCCTCAGAGCTCACCTGGGAGCCCATTATCACTGGATGATAAGGGGCCCCCATGCCCAGGCTCAGAATCAAAGGCCCGGAAGCCTGAGTATCTGTTAAACCCGGATCCACAGTGCTGCTTTGATTGAACTTTGCTCAGTAAATATCCAGCTGATAAGAGCCCATGCCTGACCGGGCACCAGACCTCCCTCCAGGTTCTAGGCAACAGCATGGCCTGGCTTCCAAAGCCCATTAAGCCCAGAAGTGTGGGCACAGGTGGGAAGTTGAGCCCCAGGATGGATGATGGCATCAGAACCACATTTCAAACTGGGCTTCAGACCCATCTGCTGGGATCCCTTGCCTGTGAAATTCAGGCACCCAGGTCCCTGCTCCTAGAGAGTCAGCTTCTCGGGGTTTGGTTAGGCCTGAGAGATCCCTATGAACGTAAATTCCTCTTGTAACCCTGCAGGTGCACTGAGAGCCAAACCACTGATCATTCATCCCTGATTTAAAAAAAGAAGCTCCCAATAAGAGATGAATTACCCTTTTGTGAACTTCTCTGTCACAAATATGAACACTTTCCATTATTCGTGTGTGTTAGGAGTACAGTGCTGAATGAGACAGATATGATCCCTGTCCATGTTGGACTTTGTAGTCTAGTGAGGCAGAGAAACAACACAATGACCCATGGGATAGATATCACAACTTGTAAAACTCAGGCAGATAGAAGAGTGCATAGCAGGCAAGAGCCACACTAAGACCTGTGTCCCTGGAACACCTCGAAAGTTTGGAACACCTGTATTCAAATCTGGCTTCTCACTTATAGCTAGGAAATTCTCAGACTCTGGCCCTCAATTTCTTCAACTATAAAACAGTAATAATAACTCCTCTCTCCCAGAGCAAGGTTAAGAGGAACTGAAATATTGACCAAGGAGCTCCAAGGTCAGGTCCAGCATATGGTAGATGTCTAACATATGTTATTTTTCTTCCCTCTCCTCTGCTTACATCTGTCTCCTTTGGAAAACTATAATTTATGAAACGTTCTTCCTCCTACTGAACCTGCCTCATGGCAACAAGTACTGCATTTCCTTGTGTTATCTTCTAATGGGACAATTCATCTATTTATAGCTTTCTATAAAATAATCAAAGGGGTATGTATATTGGAGGTAAGTCAAGAATGAAATGTAAGGTGCTTAGAACAGAGCTCGGCAGAGGGATCCTCTTAAGCATGTGAGCTAATGTTATTAGAAATGGTAGCAATACTTCTTGCCTAAATGAACTTCTCATTCCCTCAGCCATTTCTCAATGACTTTTTAAACCTTGACCTGCCCTCTGGGTAGATAGACATCTACCATATGCTGGACCTTCCTCCACAAGTTCAACTTGTCATGTCCTGTCTGCTTGGTGATGCCCAGTGCTGCCTCAGACCTCAGGTGTGGCCTGACTTGGCAGAAAGCAGAGCTACCTACGCCTCCCACGTTCTGCTCAGGGTCATTCATGGCCACGTCAGCTTTATTCACAGGCATATCATGCAGTACCTCCAGGTAGGTTGCCTGCTGTTTCTTAGGCTCAAAGTGAAGCCTGAAACAATGTGTACTCAGGAAAAAAAATGGGGCATGGAGTTATTTGGAGGTCCTACTACTGTGGTCACCTATCCTAATTCATCTTGGAAACAAGCTCAATCCCATAAACACACATCTCAACCTAGATCAAAGACAGGCACATGGCTTACTCACTGGGCCCCCTCTAATTTGCATGTGAATTTCTGGGGAAGGGCCCAGAGGCCTGATTAGACTCCCTCCCAGGAAGGCAACACACTGCACACTCGGCTGGAAAGGGACCAGCTGGAAACTTCCAGGATCTTGTCAAGTAAGGGCTTCCTGCCTCCTGTTGTTCTTAAATCAATGAACAAAGAGGGCTTTGGGGAGCTGCTGTGAGCAGATGGCACCACCCTTTAGGGTCTGGGCTTCCTTGGAACCCACAGTATCAACAGATGTTCCCTGGTACCACGGAGCATATGCACAGCAATTTCTAGCCTCCTACGGCAGCTGCAAGGCTTCTACAACCTCCCAGATGCCCTGACCACGCATATGCCAAGGAATCCTACAGTTGGCTCCACCTGATCGAGCAGGAGTGTGGCGCCTTCCAATAGCTTCTTTGCCAAGTGCCTGTGAGGTATCAGAATCCAAAGCCTCAGAACAATTCCCAAGCAATCCCAACAGTCAAGCGTATTTGCAAGTTGAAAACTTGTGGTCTATGCCTATCACCCCAGTCTATATGGAGCATCAATCAACATTTAGAATTCCACAGTAAATACACAAAATTAGAAGAGGAAAAGAAGTTTGCCTGAAATCAAGGATGTGTCACTTTGGGGCTGCTGGGTTCATGAATTGAACTAAATTTAAAACTGAAGTGAAATATTAAAAATGAAATTTTGAAAGATTTTAATTTTAAAAATAAGTAAAAAAGAGTATCCAAAGAAAATAAGAGATTGAAATAATAATATGTCAGCAAAGAACACAAAAGCCCAATTTCCCAAAGTAGCATTAACCAGAGATGTCAATCACCTCCCGGTGGAACTGCAGCTCCAGGCAGCACACCCTTGGAAGTCTGGTTTAGTTGAGTCTTCCATGGGCAGCCAAGTGTTCCTCACTGAGAGTGGTGTGCCCACCTAAACATGAACCTCTTGGCTCTCTTTGGGTATCTCCTTTTGGGAGCTAAGTGCATTCGACTGCCTTTCCATACCGCTGGAAGTCAGTCACCAATGGAGTTGGGGTCAGGGGCTCATTTACAGCAAAACCCACAATTTGTTCAAAGTGAAGGTTTCCATTTTCCAAAACCAGCAATGAACAATCTGAAGACATAAAAATTCAGCAGAAGATATTTCAGTTCCTCCTGTGACACACAAGAGATGCTCCACATGACAAAAATAAGAGTCCTGCAGCTGCTGTGCCCCTGAAGAGTACACAGCATGACAAAGTCTGGCCAACAGGTCACTTCACAGAGCACCCCAGCTGCATGCAGGCATCGGTGCCCACTCTGCACCAAGTGACGGGAACATACGATTCTACTGATTTAAACAAAAACGATGCTCTAGTTCCTTGGTGAAGGTATAATGAAATATCACTGAGAATACATGCAAAATTATAGGTACTTGTTTATTTAATGACTCCCCCCCCCATACTGAATGCAAACCACACTCAAGCCATAGTGCAGAAGCTACTCAGGAGCTAAGGAGACAGGTCACCAGGCACTGGTCCCTTCTAGGGCATTATTAGAGAACTTAGGTCAGGCAGGCATTCATTTCCTAGAACAGCCGCCACCTTTATGAGAAGACTCTTCATCCGTCACTCTCTCATACCACCTGGCCAGGCAGCAGGATCAGCACAGAGGGCTACATGGGGTCCAGGATAAGATATATTTCCATCACATGGGACTCAGAGGCCAGGAATGCTTCCAAACCATTTCGACAATTTTGCCCACTGGGAACTCTCTCCATTCACTGATACCTGCACCTCAAGGATGCAGTCACACAAGGCCATCTTGAAAGAGAAACACTTCCCAGCCCAGAAATTTATACGCCCCACTACCGATTATGACACTCCATGGACCATCCAAGTACGCACTATA